AATAGAGAAACAGCTCGAGAGATCATGACACTGTTGGCAATGATGGCAATTTGTATAAGGAAGGTATTTGTGCATATAGGTATTTGTGCACACAAGCTTAACAACCAGGGGAGGGTCACAAAAAATGCGGTCCACTACATTGGGAACCCATAAAGGCAAGTTAACAACAAAGTGAACTGAAGCCTTGAATGGATTCTTGAAAACAAAGAATCATTATAAGAAACACATGTCTTTCTTCTTCATGATGGTAATGTAGTGCAGTGGCTTACAAGTGGCCACATATCTGTCAAAAGCCATTTCAACTCCACCAAATAAGTGAAGAAGAAATTTCTCAGTAAAGCAACCAGGGAAAGAAATTATCTTAATGTTCATTACCAAGTTAAGAACCATTTTAGGGTTAAAAATGAAGCAAGAGTCATATCCACAAAAGAGAGATTCCCAAGGAAATAGTACATAAGGGTTTTCAAGTGTGGAGTAAAAAAAACACTGTTACTACAATAATAAGGGTTTCCCACATTGCCACCATGTTACACTCATCCAGTTGATATATTCATCCAAAAATATATTCTTTAGTTATTAGTCATCATCCTCCCCCATCCCTCTCAAGTTTGCTCATCACTTCAATTTAATTAACTTCATTTCACATATGTACAATGAACATATGAACTTTTCCCTCTCCATTTGTCTCCTCCATCCTTGACCTCATCCCCACAATAGATGTTCCAGCTCTCTTGTCTTCATTGTGTAAAAACTGTAAGTTTTTCAAGTGAGTTACAACATTGGAATTCTCCCCAACATATACCACAATTTAGTTGACCAATTTGTAAATGTATGTGTATGCATGTGATCCTATGCATATTTATCCTACATATATTTATAATTTAGATCTAACTTTTACATATGAAACATGTGTTCTTTGAACTGGAAAAAGATTTGGGTGAGCACCCTTGTACTCTGAGAAATTCAAACAAATATTTTAGATACAAAATACAAGTTTGCCAAAGATGATAATGTCTTAATTTTGAAAAGTCAAATGTATAGTGTCTCCATTTAGGGTGTAACACCATCTCCTCTAAGTCATCTCCATGGTTCCTTGTTTCCTGGATTGGCTGGGTCTCAGAGGTCTAGGTGGTCACTCCTTGGTTAGTTTGTCCCTGCTGGCATTTATGGGGTTTGAACTCAAGGCCTGGGCACTGTCCCTGAGGATTTCTGCTGGAGGCTAGTGCTAGTCACAGTGCCATTTCCAGTGTTTGGCTGGTTAATTAGAGATAAAAGTCTGTTGAGCCATGCTTCCAGCCTGGATCTTTGCTGGTGAGTTGGGATATGGAGTCCCAGAGGAATTTTTCTTCCCAGGCTGGCCTTGAACTGCAATCCTCAGATTGAATGAATCTTTGCCACAAAACCGTTTTTGTATTTCCAATTTAAGCAAAAAAGGAGAGCAACAGAAATAATGAGCAGAGCTTATCTGTAACTTGTTAAGAATTGACCAACAAATACTTGTTACAGTTATTTCTCTGTGGGTCTGGCTAGATCCTACAAGCGAAAAAATTTGTAACAAAGCTCAGTGGACATGAAGAAACTTTTAAAACTGTTTAACTGAATTAGCACTTTACTACTGAAGATTGAAATAAATCATTGTTAGCTCTGAATCCAAGGTGGCTTACATAATTGGAAAACAAATATTGAAAAATTGACAAACTCAAGAGTACAAAAACCATTACTTTCTTAAATGGGCATAAAGAATGACATGCTGATTTTACATTAATGTATTCCTTACTGGATTAACTTTAGACATACTTGTTTGCACCAAAATCTGAGGTACTTCTTTTTGGCTTGAGTTAAAAAAACTATCATTTCTTTTCTTTGGCTTGTGGAGTGAGGTGATCTAAGGATTGCCTCAAGGGAGATTAACTGTGATTACACTCATAGTCAGGCTGCAAGAGGCAGAGTCGTTTACTGCTTTAGGCTCATGTTACAGCTTCCATTGATAAAGATTTTTCTCTTGACAGACAGAAGAATTGATAGTTAACTTCTTTAGTCAAAAAGCAAATAACTGACACGTTGATGACAGCTTTTACATATTATAATGAGATCACTTTGAACATGTTTGGCACCAGATGTAAGGGTCACAAGAAAGGAAACCCACCACATTTTATTTAGGGAGAGCAAACTGTAGGACCACAAGAGATGGAGGCATGGGGAAATAGGGGAAGGAAGAGAAAAAGAGAGAGAGGGTGGTACTTAGGTTGAGCCAGACTATATAAGGAAAGGCAGAAGGCGGGACGAGAGGGGATGTGGAAGTCATACCTGAGAAACCTCTCATTGTGTGAGGGAGGCATGGCCAGGGCAGTTCAAGAAATGACCTCTGTGGATGAGGAAGTGACCACAGACCCTGGGATCATTTGCTGACTCACAGTAAAGTGATTGACAGTCAGGTGATTATTGGTTTCAGGCAGGTGAAGAAGAAGGAGGCAAGGGCTGCTTTCTCAGGCAGACCAAACATTTAGGAAAATGTTGAGGGTGTAAGGTACATTAAATAGGTAGGTTTCATTAGGTAGCTCATGAAGAGAATACCACATGGTATTCAAGTAGGAAAGGAAGTTTAGTTACCAAACTGCTCCCCCCCCCCCGCCATGTATGGTGGAGAGGCATGGCTAAAAAGGGTAATCCACTCCTGGGCCAGGACTTATCTAGGCCAGGGAAAGGAAGAGGTGTGGCCAGGTGGGGGAAAGGTGTGGCTACACTGCATCTGGATGTGACTTCAGATCCTGCGACCCTCCTAGAGTCAGACCTGAGAATCCTAGAGTCAGACCTGAGTATGACCTGAGACTGCCCAGGATGTGACCTAGCAGGCAGGGGAGGTAGACTACTTCCAGATGTGCCAGTTACCTAGATAACACAGATACTGGGTGGAAACTTAGGCAAGAGGTAGGAAGGAGGCTGCACAGGGCCTGCATGGCCCGGGGCAGACTTTATATTTCAGCCTTTTGATAATTATGAAAAAGGACACAGATTCTCTCTGACTACTTCCTGCTGGCAAGGGACATTGTGGTCCCCTCCAGGAGAAGCCACCAGGCAGCAACTGTCCCTTGGTGGTAGTCCTTAAATGCAGTCTTGAAGAAGTCTCATGAAGTAGGGAGGGACTGGGAAAAAAAATACTAGAAAGCGCACAAATTGCGAGAGAAAGGAGTGTTTGGGGCAGAAAATTAAATTCATAAATCTCTTAATTAAGATCTCTCTACAGTAGCTTCAAGTTCATCTTCATTTCACAATATTGGATTTCACTTGCCCTATTGTCTGGAATTCTGTTTCCACTCTAGAATGTCTAATACTTCTGCTTTCCTAATGCTAATGCATTAATTTAAATATCTCCTCCTTAGACTTTTTTTTTCCAATCCCAGGTTTTGTTTACTTATTCTGGTTTTAAAATGCTACTACAACTCATTTTGTTGCAAAGACTTGTCCAGATAACCACACATATTTCAAGACATACAAGTTATAGGGATATTATGATTCTTCTGTCTCAAGGCTTTTTTGTTATTTTTTGTAAGTTTTTTGTTGTGAAAATACTGTACAGAGGAGTTACAGTTACATGAGCAAGATAATGAGTATATTTCTTATCAAACATTGTTGCCTCCTCCTTTGTTTTCCCCTACCATCTCTTCTCTCCCATCTCCACAACTACACTCCCCCCTAACACCACCACCACTGCCTAAATTTTAAAATTCATTGTTCAACAGTGTCTTGTATATCTCAGTGTTACAATGGGTCAACCTGTATCCCTATTTAGACATTTTGTTTATTCCTTTCCCCATTCACTATTATACAATCATCAAATACAGTGAAGATAGGGGTTATACCATGGGGGAGGGACATACAAAGCAATCACATGGTACCATATAAATACATTACAAAAAACAGCAAGAAAGTAAAAACCATTTCTGTCCCTATCTTGTGGTTCATTTCACTTAATATCATCTCATCTGGTCATATGTACATAAAGTTTTTTTACATTTGTTATTGTTTTGAGACCACTGTGCAAACATACATTTGCTATTCATTTGTATGGCATTGATAAGTATCTAGTACTCATTAAATATTTTTAAGTTGTTTCATGAATATCTGAATTAACTTAGTGGAACATTAATGAGCTACTGTTATAGCTACTGTTATAGTTTGGTATAAGAAGAAGGGGAGGGCTGGGAAGTTGGCTCAGTGGTAGAGTGCTTGCCTCGCATGCATGAGGCCCTAGGTTCGATTCCTCAGCACCACATAAGCAGAAAAAAGCTGGAAGTGGCGCTGTGGCTCAAGTGGTAAAGCGCTAGCCTTGAGCTGAAGAGCTGAGGGACAGGGCCCAGGCCCAGAGTTCAGCCCCCAAGACCGGATCCAAAAAAAAAAAAAAAGAAGAAGGGGAAATGCATATATACTTTCTATTTATATTACTTTTGAAACCTAAAAAATTTGGTAAATAAAAATATTTTAAATGTATTTCTAACCCAATTTTTGCATTTTACTAAGTATTGTCAACTTTTTGAGGCAACAGAATATTAAAAAATGTTCCATAAATCCTAGTTCTACTCCCCATATCAGTAAAAAATTTTCATAAGACTGACATATAATATTCGATATTTTTAACATTCAGTCAGAAATATTTAAAAATACGAAATAATATACAAAATCCTATCTCTGTGTTATATATTAAAATTTCCCATTTCACGTTTTAATTTATAGAACATTACAAAATTACATAAGAAATATTTATTTACTCATTTTAAGTAGTCCAAGAAAAAAGATGTATTAGATATTACTGGATTTTCTAGAATTTATATTAGGGGAATTGTGGAGCTTGGGGAATTACAGGATTATGGGAACTGTGACAATTTATGGGAATTTTGAGGAAATAACATCATTTTACATTATATTTTAGTTATTTGAATAGATACTTAACATTCAAACCCCCATATGCAAGAATAAGAAATTGCAAATAATATTTAAGAGACCTACCAGAAACTGATGTAGTGGTTGCTCAGTCTCTTAATGGCAGTTTTCATTTCCTGATTTCTTAGTGTATAAATAATTGGATTAAGGAAGGGAGTGAGTACAGAGTAAAACACAGAAAGAAATTTATCTACAGAATAACTACTGAATGGGAAAGCATAGATGAAGATAGCAGGACCAAAGAAGAGAGTTACTACAGTGATATGTGCCAATAGTGTAGACACAGTCTTGGAGGATGCAATGGAGGAACGCTGGCAGATGGTGGTCAACATGATGATGTAGGATATGAGCAATAGAATGAAGCAGACCAAAGATAGAAGCCCACTGTCAGCAATTACTAAGAGTTGTAGGATATAAGTCTCTGTACAGGCAAGCTTGATGACCAGGGAGAGATCACAGAATATGCTATTTACAACATTGGGGCCACAGAAAGGTAAACCCACTATGAAAACCATTTGGCTTGTTGTATGTATGAAACCAATTACCCATGAAAGTAATAGAAGGGCAATGAGCACCCTATTGCTCATGATAGTTTTGTAGTGCAATGGCTTGCATATAGCAACATACCTGTCTATGGCCATAGCTATCAAGAGAGCCATTTCACCACCACCAAAGAAGTGCATGAAAAACATTTGGGCCATGCAACCCCATAGTGAAATGGTCTTCCATTTTCTAAGAAAGTCTGCAATAACCTTCGGTGTAGCCACAGAGGAAAGGCATAAGTCAAAAAATGATAAATTTGCTAGAAAGAAATACATAGGTGAGTGAAGATGATCATCAAATACCACAGAGATCACAATAAGGAGATTCCCCACTATGATGGCAACATAGACAAAAAGGAAGATGACAAAAAAATATATTTGAGTTTCTGAAGAACTGGAAAGTCCCAGAAGGATGAACTCAGAAATACTTGTATTTCTATTTAGTATATCCATTTGTCCATTTTCACGAGTTAATCAGATGTTATCTAAAAGGAGAAAAGAAGAAATCACAGATATTAGTGAAGCAGTAAATCTAAGCATTACTGACTGAATTAATTAATTACATGGATTCTTTTTAAAATATAACTACTTTTGTTCATTTATGTTTTACAGATTAAGATGTTTCTGATGGCACAAAAGTAAGTGGCATATATGGAGAGATTTTCCTATAATTAGAGTCTAAGTCAGAAGGACATAGGAGTATATTTATTCTCAATTCTTTTTCATCTCCATATCAGATTGGCTGAATACTTAGTTTGTCGGGATCATATAAAAGACTTCAAACTGAACAATAGAGCATCTTTTTAAATTGTCGGTGAGTTTATTGACAAACATATTTGTCAAATTTTCAATATGTCATAATGTCTTTGAGTCCTTTGCTGTAAAAATGTTACTGAAAGGATATATGCATCAGACATGTTTGAAGGGAACCAGATACTAGTAAGAAAACATGCGTATATTGCTGATTGATGTAAAATAATGTGTTGAAAAGTAATTGGTAATTGAGGTTAACCTCAAGTTGTAAATAATAATTCACCTTTTAGACATGATGCTTATTAAATCTTACAAAAATAGATGTCCTCTCAAAATATTTTAAATCTTCAGTTAATATAACCAGAAAAAATAAGTGTTATCTGTACATTCTCATATGATGTTTACAAAATTAGATAAAAAAGACTATTTACATGTGATATTTGTGATGAATTTTCACATGTATGGGTACATTCAAACTCTAAACTCTATCAGTAAGAGTAGGATATATAATGAGTGTGTGGCTCAGTGGCAGAGCACATAGCTAGCATAACATGGAATTGGTTTAATCTAATCAAAGCAGAAGAAAAGAAAATAAATTTTAAAATGCTGACCACTATAGGATCATCCACTTTTGGACCCCCACACATATATAGTGACATAAATCACTAAAAAATTCACATATTACATCAAGATTATCTTTATAAAAGTAATTTGCCTTGTTTAGAGATTTTTTCACAATCATTTTTATCTATGGACCATTTAACCTTAAGATTTTTTGTTGTTGATGTTGGACATGGTGCTTGAACAGGTCGTGGGCCTGGGCGCTGTCCCTCAGCTCTTCAGCTCAAAGCAAGCACTCTACCACTTAAGCCAAAGCACCACTTCCAGTTTTCTGGTGGTTTATTGGAGATAAGTGTCTCACGGACTTTCCAGCCTGGGCTGGCTTTGAACTGCGATACTCAGATCTCAGCCTCTCGAGTAGCTAGGATTACAGGCTGAGCCATCAGTGCCGAGCTAACCTCAATATTTTTTTCTTAACACATATTTTTATTGCAAAGATACTGTACAGAGGGGTTACAGTTACATGAGTCCATTTTCTATCGAGCATTGTTACACTCTCTTTTATTTTTCCCCTACCATCCCTTTCCTCCCCACCTCTCCAACTCTTCCCTCTCCCCCCCTCCAAAGTTGTAAAGTTCGTTTTTCAGCATAGTATCTTATACATCTCATTGTTACAATGAGTCATCCTGTATCCTTGTGCCAGCATTTTGTTATTTCCCTTCCCCTCCTCAAATTATAAAACTGTGTATACAGATGCAGGATACCGGAATCAAATACAGTGACAACATAGATTGTACCATGGGTGAAGAACATACAAAGAAAGAAAAAAATCACATTGTACATTATAAGTACATTGAAAAGAACAGCAACAAAGATAAAACCTCTTGTCTCTATGTCCACCTACTCACTGAGGTAGACTCAGCTAATCTGCTGAAATTTTGAAGAATAAATACATGTAATGATGTCAACATACAAGCTTCGTTAAATCATTTGATCCAGCGAGTCCTCTTTTGGTTCTTTCATTTAATTCTTATTGTAGATTTGTAGTTCATTTCTGGAATATTTCTTGTCTTTATCAGAGTGTAAAAACTACCTACAATCATTGTAATTGAAAAAAATGTATGTAGATTTGTACTCTTAGAATAAGAGAATTTGTGTGTGTTAATGTGATGTTCATACACATATATGCACATGTTGTGTATGTAAGAATATTACATTCAGCTGTGGATTCTTGGTCTTCTGTTTATATGCAAGACGTATTAACAAGTACTTTTGAACATGAAACTACAAAATAATTTGAAGCTGTCTGTTCTATGAGATTTTTTCAGCTGAATGATTATTTAAATATTTAGCTCACAATCTTTTCATAGCAATTTTAAATTTTACCATGTATTCCTTCTTTAAAAGCAGCATTAATATAATTCTGTGATTTAAAAAAATATAATTCAGTCTTACTATTTATTATTTAAAAACAATTAGATCACTAAAGCTAAAACCAAACAGTGATTTCCTTATGTGATACAATAACACAAAGTATATCTGTATCAACACCTCAGTCTCACCAATAAAAGCAAACAATTTTAATCTATCTAAGTCCTTTTTCCTTAGAAGGATGAATTTGGCCTTGATTTATGGACGTTTTTCCAATATTAACACAAAACTCCTAGTTTTCAAATTAAAAGGAAGTAATTTGTTTTAGTTTACTTTACCTCATCACAGTCCTAGTTTTCTTTTCCATTATTTATTGTTTATGACTTATTACAGTAACTAATAAAAGTATGTACAGTAATTTAACCGTCTAGGTAACTTACTAGATTGCTCCAGAACTAAGACTTTTATGAAGTTCTGGGTGCTTAAAAATTATCATCCGGTAATATAATTTTATGCTCTGTTTCAAAAGACAACAGTATTTAAATGGATCTTTTGATAAAGGAGAAAAGTAATTTGATTGCTGTGGATTCCTCAGAGACTAGTAGTAGGACCCAAAGAAACACAGGCTTCATGGTTTCCCTCATTTGTAATAATTAGTATATGTATAGGATAGCCCTAGCAGAGGATCATAACAGCTCAATAGCTATGCACAAATGACCATATAAGATTAATGTTGATGGAAATGAACTCCAAGCTATGGAAAAAAGAAAAAATGAATAAGGAATGTAAAATATCCCTTCTGCCATTATAGAGAATAAGATATTACTATTTTCATCTATCATATTGGTGGGATACTAAAGACAGACACAACAATCTTGTTTCAGGACAGTGAACTATAGGCAAATCACAGGATTTTCTTATCAGTCTCATAATTTTGTTTGCTACTTAGGTAAAATAATGATGGTTTTCTTTCTACTCATTTTTGTAGTAGTTTCAAGGTCTGGATTTACTTTGAGTTCTTTGATCAATTTGAATTAGTATTCGTGCAAGATGACAGAAATCGTTTTATTCTGCGTAAGGATGTCAAGTTGTCTCACCCCCATTTGTTGAAGAAGCTGTCTTTTCTTCAACATAGTTTTCATTTTCTCAATAAAAATTAGAAGCCATGAGACCTCTAGTCTGTTTCATTGGTCCTTGGGTCTGTTTTTGTGCTCAAACCAGGCTGTTTTTTTAATATCTATCTAGTAAAGTTTCAAGTCTAGATGGGTGAGACGTACAGAATCTGGTTTTTTTTAATAGTTTTTTTTTGTTTTGATTTTGCTTTTGTTTTTCTTCAAGGATACCTTTAGCTATTTGGGCCCTTTTGTAATTCTATATGGCCAGTTTCAAATATCAATTAATCCAGTTCACAAACATGAAATGTCTTTTAACTTCCTAGGGTCTTCTTCAATGTTTTTCTTCAAAGTTTTATAGCTTCATTGTAGAAAGTATTTACTTACTTGGTTAGATTTATTACTAGACTTTGTTTTCTTGAGACCATCCCAACAGAGCTGATTTTCTAATTTCCCCATCTACTCATTGTTGGTATTCAGAAAAGTCAATGGGTTTTGTGGGTTGATTTTACTTCTGCTGCTTTGCCAGAATTATCAGCTCTAGAAACCTGAGATGGGGTCTCTAAAGTCCTTTGGATATAAAATCACTTCATCTGTAAATAGGGATAGGATAACTTCCTTCCTAATTTGGATCCATTTAATCTCACCTTGTTCTAGCTATGAATTTCAGTAGTATATTGAATAGATGTAGAAAGAATGGATATCCTACTCTTATTCCAGATTATAAAAAAATTTATCAATACCGCTTGTCTTTTTAATAATCAAGTTTTAATTTTATTGATTCTTTGTATCATGCTGTTAGTCTCTAGTTCATTGATTTCTGTTCTAATGATTATCATTTTCACTTTTGGTTTGGGAATTCTTTCATTGGTGTTGTACAGTGGCTCTTTTCTGGTCTAGTCTATTGAATCTTTTAAAAGCTCGTTGCACCTGGATAGGTTTCCTGCTATTCCTCTTTGAATAGGTCCTCAGTTATCCTCATCTCCTCTTCATCACGTATGATCCAGATTTTAAAAACTTCTATCATAATTCATAGATTTTTGATATGGTTATTTGTTCCCTCTCTACTATGTCTACTCTTTTCAATCCTAGTTCTGTCTTATGTACCACTGGAGAGATTTTCCACTTTATTTTATGTATTGTCTCTTTCAGATTGATAGTTTTTCAGGATTTCTATCTCTTTTTTGCTTCTTTTTTATTGTCAAGGTGATGTACAGACGTGTTACAGTTACAAAAGAAAGGTAATAAATACATGTCTTGTCAAACTTGTTACCCGTTTCCTCATTTTGCTCCTATTTTGCCAGCTCCCCCAATTCTATCTCTTTATTGAGAAGTGTTTTTTCATGTCTTGACTTGATGTCTTCATTAATTTGTTTACATATGCCTTTAAAACTTTTTGCCTCTAAGTTGTTGTACAAAGAAGTTGCCACTTAATGAAGTAGTATATGAATAGTAATAAATGTAACCCCTTTCATTATTCTACCCATCCCTCTTAAACCCATCCCTTTCCCCAATTTTTTTATTTTGTAGAATATGTATTAAATTGTATGCCTTTTTCATCTCTTTTAGCAGATAGCTGTATTCTCTTTAAACTCAGTAACTCTTGTGTTTTGTTGTTGTTTTTCTTTCTTTCTTTTTTGGTCTGTTGTAGGGCCT